GAGTGGATTGGGATAAATCAATTCTTTCCAAGTTGAACACTATTTACCAATGGACGGAAACAGGAGCCCATCATTAGGAGCCTCTATCTCCCATACTAAGCCTTAGAGTCAACCCTTTCCCAAGAAGATCTATCAATAGAAAGGCTCTCAGGGGATGTCTGGAGTTCTAAGACCCAATCAAAACAGAGCTATGACAATCCTATTGTTTTACGTCAAACATCCGCTCACATGTATTAAGCAGTGAATCAGTTTTTGCGATTCGCGGTTGACTCAGCGGAAATAAACTTTCCGCGGGATTGACTCAAGGAATCCGTGGAGATAGAGGCTCTCGTTGACGGGCTCCTGACGGAAACAAAAGTTTGTTTCCCAAGAATTCGAACTTTAATTATTTATTATTACTGATTATTGTCCTTTTTGAATGCATTTACATTGAAAAAAAAAACGGTTCCCTACGCCACACGACCTTCTTTGGCTTTTATCTATAAGATCAGATCGAGATTCATCTTCAAGAGAAACACACTTCCATTCCAGAGACTATCAAAAGAATATAATAGGATAAACAAATCCCAAGGCAAGGACAGGAAGTTTCTGTCAAAGATGTCTCTCTTTCCCTTCTTAAAGATTAAAACATCGCACCTCCTTTAAAATCTAGGCCAATCGAAGAAGTTTTTTTTTATAGCGATGAATCACTTCTTAATATCGCAATTTTTCTTTTCTACATTTTACAGGATTAGTGTTTATATTTTTCATGGTGGACAAAATAGGTAGGAAAATGGTTCAATTCGTGGCTTTCTTGGGGAGTGCAATTTTTCTAGCAGCCTTGTTCATTTGCACAAGAAGGTTAGTGATGGGGCCAGTTGTCACATGTTCCTATAATGAATAAAATGTATGCTATTTTTGACCATGTGGATGAGACATGGTCAAAGACGAGCTGATCCTCGCAGCAAAACTACAATAGAAGAAATTGCAGAAAAAGTAGTTAAAAAAAATCAAGCTTCGACGGGATTCGAACCTGTGCTTCCCAACTGCCTTTTAGTCGCCACTACCAACTGAGTTACGAAGCAACACGTTAGGATAGAGAGTCGTTAACACTGGGCGGAGTCCTGGGCACAAGCTAATGTGAGGGATGACCATCACCCAGAATAAAAAACTGCACAGTTCCTGAGTTTTGAATTTTGAATTAAGCAATGGAGGTCTTGTTCCAAGTTTATGGAGCCTCAACTAAACAAGAGGTGTTTGGGGGGATTTTTTCGAAAGTTAAGCAGTCTCAAACTCTTCCAGCAGCCTGAGTCTTTGGATTATGCCATGGAAACGCAGAAAAAAATTCCTCTCTGCTTTTAGAGAATATTTCTTACAAATGCGCACGAATCTTAAGCGCCAAACTGCCCCACATATGCTCATCCTCACACAACTATCGACCAATGGGTACGGGCCAAAGGTCTCAATTACTTCTTCAACCTAGATTCAAATGAAACTGCGGAAAATTTAATGAAAAACAATTTGCCTGTCCTCACACACTAGCAGAGGAAGAAAAAAATTGATGTCATTTTTTTCATTGGCAGTCGTTCATCGACAACGCTATTTTTGTACGCCTCCCGAATGTTCATCAGCATTGCTGACATGTGCGGCTATGTATACACACCGGAGGTGTATCCCACGAGCATGCGCGGTATCGGATTGGGCGCATGCTCAGGTGCGGCGAGGATCGGCTGTATGATAACTCCATTTGTTGCCATGGTGAGTAAAGTGACGTAAAAGAGAAATCGATACTCAGGAAATAAAAAAGAGAAAAAATATTCATGAAACACTTGAAGGTGCAGTTGTTTGCAACCTGTCGAGACAATGTTTTCGAAGAGTTTTAGGTTTGGCTTAGCTCCTTAGTTTAGGCGGCATCTATCAAAGGGTATAACACATTTGTTGTCCAATAATAACACCTCTAGACTGGTTTCTCGAGAATGTGTAGAGTAAGGGAAAGCATATTCTGCATTTGCTTATGATTCATATGGTAGTCGTTAAAAATTTTCTGAAATTTCTGAAATAAGAGATTCTGTACTCAAAGGCTTAAACTAAATATTCATCGTGTTAGTTAAAGTAAGACAAATTAATGTTCTTTTTGTTAAAAAAAAAAAATGTCTGGGCCAACAAGACGCGAAGCTTCGTCTCGGCGAAGAAAATATTCTAAGACCTTTCTGAACCTACTGACAAATTTTGTCCATATTTTTCAAAAGTATTATACAATTTTTCTACAGTCTAAATGTAACTTGTGTCTGTTGTGGGTGAGAGTTCTGCAGTCTCCAGCGATAGAGAGCCATAGCCTTAACGAAAGGATTTTTGAGCGCGACACTCAATTAGTTTTTTAAAAAAATTAGAAATGTTTATTATGAGTCTTTAGGACTAGCTGAGTACTATTTTTCAAGGACACGTGATGTCTTCTATGGCATTTCTTCCATCATGGTATTTAACAGTAAGCGCCTGTTTGCTCTTTTTCATTGTCTACAGGTTCTAATGCCACACTCCATTCTACTATCACTCAGTTTCTACAGCGGTTTTTCTGTTCTGGGCGTAGTCACTGTGCTTCTTCTACCAATCGAGACCAAGGGACGGGCTTTACAGGTGAGAAGGACAAGATAGACATATCTTTTTTGGCGACGAAAGCTCTCTTTAACCGTAACAAACCTAATTTCTACTAATTATTATTGATAAGATGTCTCTCTCAATAAGTTTGTAAGTCGATATAATTTTCATTTTTTGAAGGAAACTTCTTTTAATCATAGTGTTCTATAGTTGATTGTTACAGCACTATACGATTTTCTTCCGGAGTCCCCCGGAAGCTTTAAAAGTCTCAACTGGCACTTAAAAAACCCAGCCAAGATCTGAATAAGATTCCCTTCACTATCGCCTAAAGCCCTGTAAAATACCAAGTTTTTACAGAGCTTTATACGCTCATGTTATCAGGATATACACGGCTTAATGTGCTATCTTTGAATTTATTGCAGGATTCTTGACAAGAATATATTTGGCTAATGTAGCAAGAAAAGGAAGTGACAACTTAGCTTAACATTAGGTGTCAATAGGTGTACTGTTTCAATGTCAACAATTCTGCGCAAGATTCAGTTTGCAACCGTGGCACTTATTCAACAAATCATGAGACAATAACATCTGCTATGAATGAAGGACATTACATCGTGATACGCTGGTAGCTTTTTTGCTGTTTCTTCTCAATTGAAAAGAAAAGAAAAGTGTACGCTATTTGTACATACGATAGAAACAGAGCTGTGTTGATATCGAGTTCGATAAAGTACAAAGTCGCTCTTTTATCTCATGTTTTGTTGACCAACCATGCATCTCATTGTAATATGGTGTTTCAAGGTGAAAAAGGTAAAATCTGTATTTTCTCATCAAAATTCCAAATTTTTTTGCACGATGTAAAGTTGGCTGATATCAAGCTAATAATTTACTCTTTTTTTCCCTTTCAAGTAATTGGATCTAAACTTCGTTAACTATTACAAATTAAACTTTTATAATTGATTTGGTATTAAGGTTTTCTACTTTTTACGGGGTAAATACCTTCTTTTAAGACTGGAGAGGCTATACGAGGGCCTCATGACTTTTACGGCTAACAGTTAAAAACTTTGGCCGATTTACGGCTAACGGTCATCCGAATATCACAACCAATCAAAATTGATCCGAAATGCACCAAAATATCGCACACCGGTCAATAAAGGGCAGATGATTTTTGAAAAATTAATTTTGAAAATATGAATTTGCCTTTGCACAAGACTCGCCTTAGTTTCTTGCAAAAAATCGTTTAAAAAGATGATGATTTCGAGCTTTGTTGTTGGTGTCTTTAGTACGCCACGCTCCCCCCTTCCCTCTTCCCTTCCTAATTGTGCTGTATGGCCCCAACTTCACTGTCGATAGTAAATTTAATTACGAAAAGACAGTTTAATAAATTCTTTGCTCAGCTCGTGAAATCAAGGCAGTGTGATTGGGTTAATTTCAGAGTTACTTCAAAATAAAAACTTAACCTTTTTTTTTTTGCATTCTTTTCAGATTAAGATAGTAAGATTAATAATTGCACGTTGTGTATAAAGGAAAACATTTTACTTTTCAAGAAGGTTATGTTTCATTAGCCTTAAGGTTTCCTCAGACCAAGATACCAAATGCGTTAGATATTTGATCCAACTTAATTGACAAACTGGCTATTGGGGTTTTAAGTAAGCTTACATCAATTACGTAAACGGAAACTCATTAAACATGAAATTCAACCTTGCTATGATCTAAAATAATTTTTTCCTCTTAGTATTTTGATTAAACTGCCTTCGCAACTCGGTTCAGATTTTTCGTATCATGCAGATTAAAACGTGCTTGGTATCTATGTTCTGAGAATGCAAATTTAACAACGAAGAAATTGAACCAGGAATTCTGTCAAAGTACGTTCATAGACTAATTCAAGAGTGCAAAAAGCCGGTCTATTTCCTAGTAAAATATTTACAGTCTCGATATCAACTATCAATTTCATCAATGCTGTTTTCCCACGCTGAAAAGCGCTTATAAAAGATTTGCTCAGAGTATCTCGCACAAAACCACTTCAGAAGTTTTTAGTCGCTGTAGTTTGGGGGTGCGAGCTGAGAAGATTCGAAAAGATGAAAAATTTGGTCCTTGTTTTCCTGGTGCCTTTGATATCCTGTCGAGCGCTCCTTTTTGACGGAGACGGTAAGACTTTTTTTTTTACAATATCTCGCGAGCTAGAATATATCAAATTCTCTGTGGGCCATGTTTTGAAATTCATGTGTCTCTCGATACAACAATTCCAGCTCATTTCTTGTCGTTCCACATCTTTCTCTCTTTCTTTCCAAATCAATTTCTTTCATGTTCGAAAATACCAAGTGTATTGTATGTTTCTCAGCTTTATCCCAGCCACCCGTTTTTCCAATGTAAAAGTTCAAAAAAAATCTCGTTTCTATGTTTTACTCTCCTTTTCACTCCTTTTCATCTCCTGTATTTTATTTTCTTTGTTGCTACTTACAGATTTTGCACTGAAATACATACACCTTATTCGATGGTTGAATGTATGACACGGGCGGATATTTTGCGAATTGCGTGGTATCATTCTATATTATTATGTTATTATCATTAAGTCATGACCAAAAAAATATGTAGTACATAAAAATTTTGTTTTTTAAAAAGCAAAACTTAATAAAAAATGAGAGCAAAGTAATCACATTCTGGACCATTTAGCGCGGCCATTTTGTTGCTCTGCTTTCCGCCCATATTTTGCCCTGTTCTACAGTGTAATACCGTAGAATATTTTGCGCGTCCCTTATGTGGTAAAATGACGCAATTGCAGAACGATAAGTCACGATGTTTTAAGTTTTCATCGTTAATTAGAACTACCTTTGAATAAAATGAATCCTTGAAAAAATCATTTACTAAGTTAGACGAACACCACAAAGGAAAGGAGAGGCCCAAAAAGGAGCAAAAACAGTCCAGAATGTACAAGAAGAACAAACTTTGCGAATGATAAGCTTGAAATATTTAGGCCAAATTACTTAAGATGCCTAAATTGTGACCTTTGTCTTTTCATCTTTCCCCGCTGTTGAATCGTTTACTCCTTTAATAAAAACGATTTGTGATTAGTTTTTTAAAAAGCCAATCGCCAAATGCTTTCATATGAATATGTCTGAAGGCTTTCAAAAGCTCCTAATTTCATGAATCTTTGTTGTTGTTATTGTTGTTGTTTTTTTTTTCATTTGCGCAATTTTTAATTGAGTGTCGAGATTAGTTTGGAATTGCTTAAGGTTTTGCTTTACTTCGCTCCGTGATTGGTCCAGAAAAACTCGCGTCACTCTTTCAACCAATCATATGCAAAACTAAGACGAAGAATCACTATTAGTTTAAGATCACGTGGGCTCTTCAAGGTATATTCCTCTCCTCTGATTAGCGATTGTAATTACTTTGGCTCTGGTATTACGACACTCAGTCAAAATGCGCTCTATCCAAAGTGCATCTCGGCCACGAGCTTTTTCCATCCCTTCCCGTATTGTGTTATGTTTCGCAGGGTGTTTAAATACCGTATTTCCTCGAAAAAGTGTGCGGGTGCTTATTTAAAATTTCGGCTAAATGTAGGGCGCTTACAGGGAGGAGGGCGCTTACAAAGAAATTATTAACCTGTTTTGATTCCTTTGCACTCGAATCTTTTTCGAAAGTTATAAATAAAGTGGCAGTAGAAACAGATTTTCATTGTATCCCTGACTATTTAACAAAGTGGGGGAGTAAGGGGGAGGTGGAACCTACCCGAGGGGGCACTTGTTTGATATTATGGCCGAGAGTGTGAGCGATTGTTCATGGGAGGGTGCTTATTAAAGCGAAGGCGCTTACTCAAGGAAATACGGTAAGTGGGAACCTTGATTTCTCTTGGAAGATTTCTTTCTTTCCAAAACTCGTGCAAAATGTTTGTTTCTTGCTTGGTATTCGTTTGTTTGTCTGATCCATAGAAAAGACCAGTCGAACTAATCTCTACAACTTTGGCCAAAAACATGTTTTAAGAAAAAGAAAACTATTTCAGGTGGTCACATGTCTAAGAATGCTTTCTTTTTTGCCTTTCAGAACCAGTTGCAACAGTTGAGCCAACAGAAGAAATCGAACTTGTCCCTGAGGGTAAGTGATAGAAAATTCATCATTCATTGTAGCAGTCATCTTTCAAATTCTAGTTAGCCGGCTATTCATACATTTATTCATTTGTTATTTATTTTATCCTTTCTTTCATTCTCTCATTCATCCACTCATTTATTCATATTTTATTCATTCTTTTTTCTTTCTTTCTTTCTTTCATTCCCTGATTTATTCATTCATTTCTTCATTAACCCATTCATTTGTTCTTCAAGTAATTCACTCAATCATTGATTTGTAATTCACTCTCATTTTTTTATTCATTTATTTACAAATTCATATACTCATTAATTCATTCATTCATTTATTCCCTTATTTTTTTTCATTAATTTACTAATTCATTCACCCATTCATTTATTTATTCCCTCGTGTTTTCATTCAGTTATTCAGTCACTCAGTCACTAAGTCCCTAACTTCCTTCAGTCTCTCAGTCAATAGTTAATCATTTAGTCATTCCTTTATCCTTTCATTGCCTCCGTCCTTAATTTTTTCATTAATTTGCTAATTCATTCACCCATTCATTCATTCATTCCCTCATGTTTTAATTCAGTTATTCCGTCACTCAGTCACTAAGTCACTAACTTCGTTCAATCTCTCAGTCAATAGTTAATCATTCATTCATTCCTTTATCCTTTCATTGCCTCCGTCCTTCTTTCATTCATTCGCCACTTTTTTACCCTTCCTTGTGCATGTACTTGATTGCGGGCCATTCACATCACAACAATATTCAATTTTTACTTAGGGATTACGTTCAGCCCTGTTGGATGTTTCAGAGACAAATTTCACCCACGTGCTATGCCTGAACTGCTGAAGAACTTCCGTGGGACTATTGATTGGTCAGACTTGTCAAAGACAGTACAGAAATGTGCGGATGAAGCTATGAACAAGCGTAAGTGGGAATTGTTTATACTGTCACCGGCGCAAAGAGCGCAAAAAAGGGAATTTTAAAACTCGACTCGGTTTACTTTTTCAACTAAGTAAGTCCTCTGAATCTCTGAAATCATACATTTATTTTTGGCAACTACATCTCCGGGCAACACCATACACTTTGATACCATTTACCTCATGTCGAAGGAAAACGCGTTTGCTCAGGTCCCATGACTTCTCTCAATTTTGCATCTGCTTGAGTGGCGCGAGTTGTCTAATCCTATCACAAACTGAACCAATCCAAAGTATTCCTGCGTTACCTTCGACACTCAATCAAATAAAATGCTCTTCATTTCAACAGGCCAAGAGTATTTTGGAATCCAGTATTATGGAGAATGCTGGGGAGGAGAGGAAGCAGACCTATCTTATGACCAGTATGGATCCAATCCTGCTGGTTGCTATAACAACATGGTCGGTAAAGCTTGGCACAACTTCGTCTACAAGTTTAACAGTGAGTATAAGGATATTTGGAGCCCTTATTCTAGTCTAAAAAATGATTTAAGACCGTTATTCTTTCCTCAAGAATGCTTTGGAGCCCTGTTATGGATATTTGGGGCCATTATCCTTGATATGATGTGGGGCCTTCATTATTGTCTTAAATATGATTTGGCGCCCCGTTCTGAATATTTGAGACCTTATTCTAGCCCTATGAATGATTACGAAAAGTTTAGCTCGGTATCTTTAGTAGCAGAAATATATATCGCTGGCGCCGTTAGACCATTGAAATACTTAAAGGGGGTAAGTTTCAAAAGAAACTGTGGTGTTGTGTCAGTGGGAGAGTATAACAGGTAATTTAGTGTTATTAACTGAGTTGACAATGTAAACTGGCCATCGTAAAGAGTTTCAAAGCTGAATTTTCGAGCGTTAGACCTTCGTCTTAGTGAATGAAATACCTAGTTTTGTTAACTTTTGTATTTAGCCATTGGAAGGCGACCTTAAGATTTGAATGATTATCCTTGGGCCATCCAAATAGCTTACAATGGGGGAAACTCTGATGAGGCTGCAGTGGTTAATAGAATATGTAAGCGTCCAATCAAGATAAAATTGTTTTGAGAAACAGACATCGATTGGTTTATTGGTCCTAGTTCTATGAGCTTATAGACAGCAGGTTGAATAAATTAGTGAATCATAATCCCAGTGTTAGGTTTCTTTAACATTTGAGGGAGATTTTGTCAAAATTTATCTGACTTTAATTCTCTCTTTTTCATTTTGCAGTACCTGGAGGAGATTCAGAAGAATAAAAGTAAATCTCGGCACTATAGCCAAAACTTATTATTCAGTCGTAGAGTATTCTAATGTAACTCGCCTGATTTCTCATTACCAAATGAGTGTTAAAGAATAAACATGTGAAAAAGCTTTAAAAAGCATGATATTTCTTTCGGTGTCGTTTTTTTTTTCCTTTTTTTTTCTGTTTCAACTGAATTATAAATTTAAAACTTTTGGGCAATGAGTGGTATGAAATGACATAGGTTTTTTCATATTTAGTCTCAACAAGGTCTGAAGCTATATTCGTCTCTGTCTTTGTAACTTTTCAAGCTAAAAATTGCCCCGAGGTTTTTTGTGTACTTTAACTCCCACATTGTTTTGAGGAAGAGGATGGAATCACTTAGTCAGATTTCCAAAATGGACGAAACACCCGATAATACAATTGTTTGAAGAGCAAACAGTCTACATATAATTAATAACAAATAATTTGTCCCTCAGGGTGAAATCGGCTATCTATAATCAAAAAAGACAATAATTCTAAAATACCGAGCTTAAAATAAGAGGCGGGTATAATTAAAACTCGTTATGATTAAAGTTCTTTCTATTTGCCTGGATATTTTTCGCGAGTAAGAATAGATCCCCTATGTCAACCATCAAGGTCGATAGTATCCAAAACGAAACGCTTTTCGACTGAGTTTCATAAAATCAAAATCATAGTAAGCGCAATAGCCAGTCATAGAAAGGAATATATCAAGAGATCAAGAGGAGCTAATGAGAACTTGATCTAGCAACAAGCAAACTTTATAAAGCGGTCACCCACGAGAAATGGCGTGATGACCGCTTAATAAGGGTTCCACAGATTAGGGGTATTATAAACAACGATAAACAACGCCACTTTATGGCATAATCATAGCCATTACAAATTCCTCAAATATTATTGGTGCATTCGCAGCTTCATTTTTCATTAATCATTTTGTACAGTTGTAATCGGACAGTTGGCTGTAATTGGACACCTTGTAATCGGACAGTTGAAGCAGCCAATCACACTAAGTCCACTTAGAAGTGATCAAAATAACCATAGCAACAACCACTTATCCAAAGAAAAACTGGAGAATTTTCCAAAATGGGGAAATTTTTAACTAAACACATTGTCTCCAATGAGAATATTTTTTCTAGGTGTATTTGTTTTTTCGGAAATTGAAATGGTTATGATTAAATGGAACTCTGACGACGGCGAAGCGGGAGTTCGATTTGTTAATTATTAACTCGTATGATTACAGACCGAATTGGACTCCACTCGGTCCTTTAACCATTATTGATTGACCAGTGAATGTACTGAATCTCACTAAAAATACCACTTACTTTGATTTTGGGAAAGAGAGAGAAACATGGATTAAAAACTGCTTGAAAGATTATTCTTAGTTAAATTTGACTGGGTAAGCTTTCAGTGACCGTTTAATGCTGATGGAAGACAATTAGTACAGGCCGTTGTGACTTAGTAAAGGGTGACCGCGACCGTTTGATAGAGGCGACCGCTTAGTAGAGGTGAAAATTACAGTGAATAAGGGGAAAAAATTCAGGACTTTGACAACCGATCGCTTAATACGGGGTGACCGCTTGATATGGTGTCGCTTAATACAGGTACGACTGAATGTTTCTCATGTCCTTTATTAAAGCATCCAACCGGCTAACCCTTCCTTTACACCGTATGAATTCTATATCGCTGTTTAACTGTTCCACTACAAAAAGGATATTAAAGATCTGATGACAGAAGAGAGACATGTTTCCACATTCTCAGCAATAATGCCCATAATCCTATTCTCCACGAGCTCGAAATCGGAACCTTTCTCTTTCTTCTCGCCTGACACCATGAGGACCAATTTCTTGACGCTGTTTGTGCTCCTCCATTTCCCTCTCGTGTAATTTTCCGCCATTACTAAGGGCCCGTTCTCGTTGTCTTTCTCTGAACTCCTCACGTTCACGTTCCTTGTGTCCATGGTCATTGAAACGCTCTCGCTCCCTCTCGGCTTCTCGTTCGCGCATGTGCTTTGGAGGATGTTTGGATCGCTTGTCATGACCAAAGCGTTCCTCAGATTCAGGAATTTCCCATTCTGTAGCCATGTCCTCTTTTCCTCTTTTCCTTTTCAAGGCTGATTCTTCCTCGTTTTCTTCGAGTTCCTCCCTCGATCCCTCATCCTCAGCCAATTCCCGCTTATCTTCACGTTCCTCAGCTACAGTTTCCTCCAACTCTTCTGCTTCTAACTCCCGTTTAGAGTTCTCCTCGAGTTCTTCATCAAGTTCTCTTTCTGAGATTTCTTCTTCTTCCTCAGGGGATTCATGCTCCATTTCCTCATCAGGGAAATCTCTCGCCGGCTTCTCTTCAAGGTCTCTCTTCAAATTCCGATAAAACATTTCCAACCCATCTTCCTCTTTCAGTTCCCGTGCACCTTTTTCGTTTGGTATTTCTTCTATTTCTTCAGGAAGTTCCCTTTCCAGAAGCTCCTCATTACTGAGCTCTTCCCTTTCTTCGTTTTCTTCCCTTGCAGTCTTTTCCAATGCAAGCTCCCTTTTCAGCCTCTTTAAAAAGTTCTTCAAACTCTCCTCGTCACGGAAGTGTTCAAATTCTTCCCGTACCGTGTTTTCATTCTCTTTTTCTTCCTCGTTCTCCTCTTCTCTTTCTGGAAACTCTCTTTCTTTTAGTTCAAACTCCGGAGGAATTATCGGAGGAAGGTGTTCTTCTTTCTCTTCTTCTAAATCAGTGCCTCTAACGTGAATTTCATTCTCGACTGGAGCTGAAGAAACCAGTATCAGAACTGAACATAATAGATGTGTGGCTTGGATAAGCACCAGAACTAAAAGAAAGATGCAAACACAGAAAAAAGTGAGTCGATCATCGCGTAAGATATAAGTTTAATTTTGTGGTGACGATCACAAAAGAAGGTGAACAAAAGACGGTGATATCAAGCTGGGAGAGGGCGGCGAAAAGAATATGCAATCATAACGCTGGCCATGAAATATTCATTCTTTTTTTCCAATTTATTCCTTTTCCACATTGCTGCTATCATATAGGGTTTAATAAAACACTAATCCGATGGAAATGAGAGACTCAGCAATCAGGGTCTAATGGTGACACGCAATAATTTTTTAATATGAAAATTAATATTGTTAATGTTATAATTACTGTCGTAATTTTTCTGTGTTTTGCTTCATTTTTTCAGCCATTGGTGAGTTAAATCTATTTGACAGGCAAACATAAGTAGACCTGATTAATGAATACATTAAGTGTTCAGAGCAGCAGGAGTTAGATTTTTCTCATTTAAGTTGAGAAATTGAAGCTTTAGAAATCTGATGAATCCGTTGCCGTCACTGTTTCCGGCGTGTTAGTTGTCATGTGGCAAATTGGAGCAAAAATGATTGACGAAGAAAACCACCAGTATGGTACAGTTTTATCAAAAGGGCACAGATACGCAAAACGTAAAAACGTGTCGACAAAGCAAAAGGTGGCTGGCATAAGTAACAAAATAATAAAAAAAAAGTTCTTGCTTATCCTCTGAGCAATTAGTTATGAACAATTAATTTCTCATACGTTATCGTGCGTGTTTTTGGTTCAGTTAATATTGTTTGTCTGCTTTTAATCTTAAAAAACCATTTAGAAAGTTTGTATATTGAGGACAACTCTTAATATGTGTAGGAATATCCCCTCTCCGATGATTTAAAACCTGACTTTAGACAGTCAAATTTCCCCAACCTCCGTGAGCTTTTACGAGCTTCTCTCCTCTATCGGCTTTGTTCGGAATTTTTTGTTTGTAGTCGACGAAACTAAGAGAAGAAGCAGGCTGTGTCTAGAACCTACGACAGCTCTTTCAGCCCCATGGGGAAACCTATTTTCAGACGTAAAATTTTTGTTCACTCTCACTGGTAATACCTTTCCCAGCAAGAAATCGTCGGCAGAATTTATACTTAATAATATGTTGCTAAACAAATTTTAAAAAAATCACGTTCAAATGTATCCGAAATTTTTTTTTCTTTTTTTTTTTTTTCTAACCCTTACCACAGAATCATGTCGAAACTGTAATCTTGACAAGACACACAAATAATATTCACGGCGAAAAGTATCGAGAACAAACTTTGAAACATCATGTTTTTTTTTTTATCTTTTTTTCTTTTTTTTAAGTGACGCGTTTTTTAGAGGAGGAACATACCTAGCAAGGAACAGTTTCCAAAAAAAGCCAATCTACACTAAAACATGCAGTTTAAATCTGAGGTTGGCATCTATTAATCGAAGATAAAATTGATTGCTTTCGAATTTTTAAATTGAAGAAAATAAAGATATAAAACATGTTCGATAAGAACCGGAAAACAGCTAAAAGGCCAAAATTTGGCCGTTACTGTAATGTAACATCTGCCTTTTGAGTCAGTGAAAAGCCTTGAAAACAAATATCCGTTTGAGAATGAAGCTGCGTTTTCCTGAGGCCATCGTTTTAAATTTTGACTGGCGGAAATAAACTGTATTTCTACATTTGAGGGAAAAACTCAAAAATTTTTACATACCTTTCATCTTAACGTCGAAAGATTGATTTGAAAGAAGATTTCCCCACAGCGACAACTAAGACCAAGTGAAACTGTTCCCGACTGCCAGTGGTTTTCTAATTTTAAAACGGTATAAGGCGTGGGATGATACATCAACTACAAAAGGCGATTCTAGCGTAGTTATAAATGAAGCAAAACCAGCTGGTATCATTCCCATCAATTTACATTAGGTCCTTTGTTCGTTAAATTACGATTTTGGCGAAAAGAGCGGAGAAACACTTATGGGCCAAATAATTTGCAGTTAGTTATTAGTATGTGGTAGTTTGTTTGTCATGGGAACTCGAAAGATGCGCGTCAAAAATAGACTAGTTTTCCGTAAGACGTCCTAAAAATGAGTAAGAGAGAAAAAAAATTTTTTTTGGTTCATATTCTTCTCAGTTTTATTATCCTGGATAGCTTTATCTGCATTTATTATTCATGACGGGAGGAAAAAATTTTCAACAGCGGCAAAATCACACCCTGAGGGAGTATTTTTCAGATCAAAACTTCACGATTTTACAAGCAAGGGGAATGAAATGTTGCCATTTTTTTAGGTTTCATTAGTTCAATTACATGTAAAATCTCTTTGACTCTGATGGCAAATTTCCACTGAAACATCTGCAATCCATTTGAGAACAAAATTACAGAAAAGATTCATTTGAGAGAAAGGAATATTCTAGGCATCGTTGTAAGTTCATATGAAATTAATTTATTGTAACATTACAAGTAACGTTGGTACTTAACAACTCCTTTTTATCCTATATTTAAATCACAACACCTCTTACAGTAATGACGACTAAAGCTAACCATAATAAATCACGTTCACGTTCATGTTCAGCCCGCGTATTAACGCAACGCAAACATTTATAACGCGTGCGCCTTCAACTTGTTTACCCAAAGGCGTAAACAATATCAAAGGTTTTGCACGCACATAATCGTGTAATACATCATGATTTTTGAAAAGAGCGTTGATTATCATGGCAAATAATTTTGTCAGTACTTGTTAAGGGGTTAATAACTGCTTTTGGCAATAAGGTATACGTGTTAATGAACCGCTTTGTGCCCTTTAAAAGAATCCTCTAACTTATTAAAAGAAATGGAAAGTTTACATTTGTCAGTCTTCTTCGTAAACGAAATTTTGTAACCGTTTGTCTATCTTCACTTCCATCTCTTGTCGTAGATTTTCCGTGATGAAACATTGCAATTTTTACACAAAATTGCAAGTTTACACTTGAATTAAATGAACCGATGGTACTTGTAAATGAGACCAAATTCACCTTCATGAATTTCACCATATTGACATTAAAAAAGACTGGAAAAGTCTAGTTAAGAGATTCGAGTTTTGAGCGGCCTAGAAATGTTACAGAGAACCATTGCATAGTTATGGCTTGGATAAATGTGACCCCTCATTTTGATTCCAGCAGAGAAGTTTTATGAGGTTACATCTGGGCATGCAGCCTAGAGCAGATGGCCAATCATATTGTGAGATTTAATTTCCTATGTACAGCTTGATTTAAGGCCATGCATTGGTAAGTAAATAGTTTAAAACGAACTGTAAATTGTACTGAAACTTTTAGAAGATTTATTATTTTTCCAGTAAAAATGACATAACACTCATTTTAGTGAAATGCATGTTCGTTGAACAACGAGATAGCGAAGCTCTAAAAAAGTTTCCCTAACTGACAGATTTTTCAATCACAAAATAGTGATGATGATAATGACAGAAAACTTCTTTAGCGTAATATCCACCATTTTCTCTTTGCCTGTTACAAATAATACGACTACGAAAAAACTCAAGGAAACGGATGATACAAAAAACACTAATTCTGATGAATTTGTGGTCATTGGCAGGTCAAACCAATTATATTTGTTTCTGTTCGGGTGAAAATTGAGATCAGAAATGATTTTTCCCGATGAGACCACTAAACTAGACAGCGCGAGTGCGGACGTAAGAAGATCCGCCTGCTCTCATGCTCACAGCCAGGAAACATCGTCTGATCGAAGTCATGGTTGACAGAACAAAATCGAGGCCGCGAAAGAGATCTTCCCTTCACAGGTCACGTCACAACACGGAAAACATAGACCGAGGAGAGTTGGGTACTTAACTATGCTGCTTAGATACAAGATGGCGTCCCTCTAAGTGACCTTTCAAAAATTCTGCTTCTAATCGTGATCAAAAGCCGATGCGATGCTTTTTCAATGATTTAGTGTGTCAGCAATGGAATGGTCCAAAGGAAGAGTAGTTTTGAGCACTAGAAAGTGGTAATATTTTCCCAATCATTTCTGCAACGCCTCTTACCGCTCTAGCTTTTTTGTTGGATTTGAATCCTTAAAATGGCACAGAATTTGGCGGTAGATTTGATGTTGAGGACTTTGATGAGTTCCCTTGAGTTCAGGGAATCGGAAAACAAAAACTGGGAAGGAGTAGCCAAGCTAATTCCTGGAAGCTCTGCACAACAGGTTTGTATTCGACCGAATAGTAAATATAAATGTAAATATAATAATTCGTGTGTTGATTGCGCTAATTGAAATGAAACCTTTACAAAATATACTTAGATCCTTTAAGTAATTTGATAGAAATGGATTTGAGGGAAAGCTTTCGTAGATGGACTCAACAGTTAATGAACTGGTAATTGTGTCGATAGCAAAATCTGTAAATCTGATTGGTGCTTTACACCTTCAAAGGTTCACTGGCTGTTGCACTTCAGTACAAACTTGTTTGTTTTACTGCTCTAATCACAAGCTACTTGTGATCAGATGATTCAAATTTCATCCCTGAGCACTCCCTTAGTTTTGCTCTTCTCACAATGATTTCCATACAGCCCTGCACCATTCGAAAACAAAGCATTAGTACTAAGAGTACTCTATTGTTTTTGTCATTGTTTTCTTCTTACTTTCTTACTCAGACTTATTAGGTAGAGGTTTTTATCTTGATCTAACACAAAATTCTCACAATTAATTCACAAGGAAATGTGTAGCAGCTGAAGAGGAGAATTAACAATCAGATCTTGGGAATTAAAGTGTTAGAGGTTGTTAACTTGATCTAATGCAAAATTCTCACAATCAGTTTACAAGGAAATGTATAGCAGCTGGAGGGGGAGAATTAACATTCAGGTCTGGTTGTTCAAAGCTGGGTTAAGACAAACCAGGGTTAGTGTGAAATTTGATTTCAGGTCTGAAAGCTTTAAGAGAAAATTTGGTTGAAATCTTTTAGCCTGCAATTTGATCATTGGATGTTCTGTAAAGAACAGGAAAAATTTTCCCTAAAAGGCTTTTGAACAGAGAAATAAAGAAACCTCAGCCTTTGAACAACTGGGTCTTGCAGATCTTGGAAATCAAAGGGTTATAATACAAATGGTAAATTGAGCCACTTTTTTCAGTGTGCAAAAAGATGGGCAGAAATCCAGCAAACCTCAACTTCACAGCATTCATCTTCAGACTCCAGACACCTCTCCAAATTATTAAACTCTGTTTTGCATTTTGCTGATGAAAAAGAATTAACGAATGAGACTGTGCCAAAGGACATAATAAGGAGTGACCCACAATCAGCTTCAGTTAAAACCAACAGCTCTCTAGGTCAACAACTTCAAACCAATCTGGAAGCAGGTATATATAGGGTATATTCAGTTCTCTGAGTACATTTTGTACATAATTTGGATTTCAAAGGTTTTTGTTTCACTTTGCTCACTTTGATTTGTCTTGTAAACTTAACCCTTAATTCCCTTACATTGATTAGTATCTATATTCTCCATACTCCTCTTTATGCATTTGCTTTGTCACTGACAAGGAGAATTAGTTGAACCC